AGTAGTGATTTAGCTCTTTCAAAGCTAATCATGCCTATTAATAAATCTACAGTTATCGAAGAGTGTTCATGTAATTACTAGAAACTTCGAGTGTCTTATTTGCAAAGTGCGTTTGAACATATGGACTGATACCATTGTCCACAGCGAGATTCGATGAATCTCAGGTGAAAATGGGTACTTGTAATACTATCTACCCTCCGAACAGATTCATGGGCAAGACGGAGTGTCGCTTTGGAGGGCTTCCGATGGATAATGTTGGGAAGTAACAAAAAACACTGGAGGATATCTAGATGCTCAAGATTCTGGAAATCCGCTGCAGTAAAAACAATGCTCAATCTTGTACATTGCTGAAGTCATCCATCCGATCAGATAGAGACATTAGCTCTATATTCCAGAAAGAACGAGCAAATAAAACAAGCGTGAAGTTAAAGAGCCACGTTAGATACGTACCTCGGGATCAAAAACGATTCCGAAGCTGTCGTGGTTCAAGTCGTAGTCCGCAATATTATCGGGCTACACGAGACGGTGAGAAGCAACACACGCAGAATGCAACTTACGCCAACGCCGGTGTGTGCTATTCCAAAACAGCCCAGTTCTTCGCCCATGCCAGCGCTTCCGACGAGATACACCTTGCCGTCATACTTCAGGCAACGCTTCAAGTAGTCGCCCACCACCACCGATACCGTAACAATATTCTGCTACAAAACAACTCCTGAACAAACTACCTATTTGAACTGATCCCTTTAAACCTTACCGGGGACAAAATCTGGTATCCCAGCGCTCTGCATTGGTCGAAATACGAGTTCCGGCTGCGAGTACTGTTATTTGTCACCAGAATAACTCGCTTCCTCTATAATATAATACCAATACAAGAAGTACCTAAGCGAGACACTTAAACAATTGTGAACTGTAAAACTATTCTTATGCAATTTTAAAATGAAAGTTTTAAAGCTTAACCAATGCAGATGAAGAAGCAGTGCAACATTATTTAATTATGGTTATAATAATAGCGGTAACAATAGCTATAATTTATAT